AATGGTCAGTAAGCTCGTTCACAGAGCATAACGCTAGCAACACGCTGATATTCCAAAGTATTAATTTTACCAAGTAATGTGTCGTTTCTATCATGAGTTCTAATTGGGTAATGCAAATGAGGCCAAGTGAATCTTATAATCGTTTGAGGGCGTGTGAGTAAATCATGGTGAAATCTGCCAAGGGTTAATGTTGAGGCTTTGGCCGAATAAATTGTTCTTGGCTGGCGAAGATGCCATTCGTTTAGCAAATCCAAAATCATCTCGATAATTGTGTTTACTTTGCATGTGTACTATGATTGCATTTGAAGTTTTGGAAATTTTAATGGGTGTACATTCATGTGCACTCAAAAATACACATAAAACATTAATAAGAGACAACAAGGAAAGTATAATTTCTCCTTCTCATAATGATGCTTTTTCCTGATCTGTGTAACTTCGTGTGGAAATCATAATAAAAGGAGATTTAAAGTTCACAACACAAAATACACCAAAATATCAAGATAAAGGTCCTGGCTTCAAAACCTCTAAAAATAAATACAGGCACAGAAAAATACAATGAATAAATTAACTAAAATAGGGGATCGCCCAGGGAAGCGTGCATTGGTGATAACTCCAGGATGTGGAAATTGATGACAGTCAATGGCTTCTGCAACACAACGACGAAAAAATACAGGAGTCTTGCTTGCAGAGTAACGCCGTTATTCTGGAGGGCACCGTATCCTGTATCACTTGTCTCACAATACTGCAGAAGCAACACATAGAGTACTTAGTTGAAATGATAGACCCCAACTGTCCTCAGTCTAGCCTATTTATAGACATAAATGGCCTAGAATCGGGAACACCACCTGGGTTTCCACATGAGCCAATGTGTTCTTGCTAGCAGCTATCTCACATAGAAGTAGATCGTAAACATCCTTTATCTAAATCACAAGCACACCTGGAAGATTCCAATTGTCCTTCTACAGTTTTAAATATTCTTTGTTATATAAATCACAAGCACACCTGGTATATTCCAATTGTCCTTCCACAATTGTAAACAAGTATGACCTGTCAATCACCTTCATGACAGTTATCACACGGCAATGCACATAGTTTCTTCCCATAATTCTATGCACACTTCTATTTGCAGGGTTTGAGGTGATATCACCAAAACATAAAATAAATGATGCTGATATTCACATATACAATTCCCGTCTCACCATATGAAATAATAAATACATAACGATTACAATTTTTTTGACCTAAAATACAAAAACGTCGTAGAACATAAATAGCTATCAATAAAAAACATGTCAACGATACAATGTCATTTTCCTACTGTCTCAGTAGAGAGGGGGCAATGGGGGATACCGAGAACAGGTTACAGGAAATAAAAAAGGCATTTTACGTTCTTACAGGAAATAAAATTAAAGTTCCGTTTACAGTAAAAAATAGGTTTTTACACTTAATCAGAGATAAAGCAAATTCTGATTACATTTTAATAATATACTTGATAAATTGTGTTTAAGAATTAAAATTTGAAATTTCAATGTGGAGAATGCTAAGATCTTTGAGCAAATTACGAACGAATAAAATAGCTGATTACATTTTACGCATTGATTTTACGTTTTATTTATTACGAAAATGAAAACAATTTATTACAGCATACGAAAATACTCCTCGCTGAACCTCAATAGAGCATGTAAGAAGCGACTGCAGAATTGACTGCGAATATCACTATATTTCGTTTGTATCAAAACAACGAGCGCTTACCGTACTGGAAAAGCACTATTACTGAAGGCGGTATAGTATATGACATACATTATACACACATTTCTTATGAAATGACTTCCAATATTCATGACTGCGTCCGAAGATGGAATTTCAAATATAATCACTGTTTTACGGACTGTATCGTGTGAGGAGTAAAGTATGGGAGGTCCAACGGTAACTGAATTCTCATCATCATAGTTGTTAAGTTTGATATACCCTGAAATCTTCGAACGTAGTGAAAGGGTTAACCTGTGATAAAGATGATTGAAATCAACATCATGCCCAAATATCAATAAGTTTGATCAGAACATTAGGTAATTATGTATAATGACAATAAATATTTACTCATCCATGTCGTATCTTTCAACGGGTAAATAGATGAATGATAAAATAACTCACTCGTCTCCGTCTCGAACGTTGTAAGGAGAGATATCAAAATCATTTATACAGAGCCGAGAAGGTAGTTGGCTCACTGGGACATCAATAGCACTGTTCGCAGCAAAACAATTATACTGCCCAGTATGAGTTGAACCCGTACCTATAATGAAGACATGAATATATGCAATGACTTATAGTAGTGAAGAAATGGTTATATGCGTTATATATGAATAGTTATACAGTGATGTGGAGTCTTAATGTGAAAGTTTGTATATTCATGTATTAAGGCTTATAAGGAAGGTTATAAGACGGTGTTTAGACGTTCGTATGAAAGATGATATGGCGACTGGAAGGCGTTTATAAGGAAGAAAATAGATAGAAAAATATATCGTTATGTGAATACGTGTGTGTGGTTAAACGCGTAATAAATTTAAATTAATATCAAAGACTATAAGGCGATTTGGATAAGTTATTATAGATGCTTATATGATAATTTGAAAAGATTTTGTTGGGCACTTTCACGGTGATTCGGACACATTCGTACGAACGGTTATAAAGGGATATGCATAGGTTGGAATGGCCAGGTGTTGAGGGATAGTGATTCAAAGTAAGGCGTATGGGAGCGACGTGCTTTTGTTGACGCCGCACCGGGATTTGTAAATGAACCGCTATTTTGGGAACGACCGCTTTAATATTCAGCGTCAATGACTGTTTTCTGACACACACCCAATCATCATTTATAAAAAAAATGTGATCGTTGCATTGTGTACAGTAATGTTTGATTAATATCCGAGATAATCACTGTCAGTAAGATCAAACTGTTCATTAAAAAAACCTACAACTAAAATGTTATGACCTAGAAACAAAATTTCTTGTATTCCCTCTCCGAGATAAAACGCGTAATTTGGTTGGCCGAACATTTTTCTATTTCAACTGAGGTGGCGCAACTAACATACACCACTTAATCATTTCAAAATATTTCAAAGTAATATCTGGAGGAAATAACCTGTAACATTATACCTTGAAAATTAAAATGTTCATATACGCTAAAACAAAGTTTGATTTTTGCACGGATGGTTATATTTTGACAATGGGTTGTTTGCACGGAAGTTTATATTGGGACATGGGGTGTTTTCACGGAATGTTATTTTGATTTGCCTGTTTTCGCTGTGGTGTTTTACCGCTTAGAATTGAAGCATGTCGCGTAAAGGTTTACTTTCGTGTGAATTAAAAGCGAGAGCTATAGAATCATAATCGAAATGAACCTTCTACATTTTACTTATTATTTTGAAGTATTTGTATATGGGCCGGATGCCTAGGGAAGCAATAAACACAGTATTATATTGTGATCTAGAAAGTCATATTTAGAATGGTAACATATGTTGTGTGTAGACAAATCATGACGTACCGCTCTTCAGAATCCATTCTATTGTAGCTTCTGTAATTCCAAAGAGAGTTTCGTTGACGTAATACGGCTCAGGTGGTAGATCAGGTGTGAAACCGACCGTCAAATTTACTGTGAAATTTTCTGCCTTCAATTTGCAGTTAGCAATGCTTCTTTCATCACAGATCACTTTTTGTGGTGCATACCCTGATCTTTGAAATATCACTGTACAACTTTCAACTGTTGCTGGTTCATCAACTGTAAACAATCGTGTTTAGAAAAGTATGAGCATTTTTTAAGCAGAACCTCTTTTAATTAATTGATAATAACCACTGAAACCAAACAAAGTTTTCCGATCGGTAGTATGTGAATGACATTCATTTAATGTTTATCTCAATCGTTAAAGTTAATCAAACAACTCGA